TCTTTTGAACCTGTGTTTATCTTTGCAGCTCAGGTGCATTTTTCCAAGTTTCTTCTTTTTCTCTTCTCATCTGACCTCATTTTAAAAGACGCTGATGTTAAAAGCTATGCTTTCAACTCAATTTTTATGGAAATGGTGCTTTTTCTTTTCATACTTAGATCTTATAAATTTATAAAACACTTTTTTTAAATTAGAACTTTGGGAAAATACAACAAAGCTTAGAAAGCATACAATTCCTCTGATAAGAGCAGAGGTAAACATTTCTCTATTTTAAAATGTTTGTTTTTTTCTATTCAGTGGTTTGTTTATATGGATGTCAGCTAAGAGAGTTTCCTCTATAGTTCTAATTAGAATATCAGAATATATCATTATCAGAAAATGACTACATAGGAGTGAAATTGCATGTATAACATACCTGTAGATCAGCATTACGTATATGCTATGGATCTATGATGCCAAAACCTCTTTAGCTTAGAATGAAGAGATTCACCCTACAGTAAGAATATTGATATGTTTTCAAAGCCACTTTTATGATACTCCCAAATACAAGTTCTCCACTTCAGTATGTAATCAGGGTCTTCACTATCCTGTGGATCTCTTATCTCAGTTACATATATAAAATTGAGTTAAAAAATAAATCCAGAATCATCTTTATAAATTCTTGTTCTTCTAGCTTGTATAGAAATGACAGAATCAGAAAAAAAAATCAGCTCAAAGGTTCATCAGCTTTCTAAATGTCAGACACAAATTTAAAGTTTAAAAATATATTAAGTGTTTAAAGCTGCTATAAAAATAACATGCACACTCAAATGTGTTATATCAAATTGTAACACATGAACACATCATGAAACAAAAATAAACTGCTGTGAGTTTATGTATTTATATGGACTGCTGACTAAAGCTTTGCAATCGGTTTTCATATAGATTTTGAACATCTTATGATTATGCATTTTTATTTTTAAATTTTCAGCTGCCATTTTTTAAAACTTGAGTCCATTATTGTATCTCCAGATCAAATTATGCAAGAGTATCGCCACAGCATGTGTTAGTTCTTTGAATAATTGCAAATAAGACAGCTATATTTTGCTGGCATGAATCCTAACCACTCATTAACAGTTTTGCTATAACAAACTAATGTGATAATATTATATTAAAGGAAATTTTCTTGCGTAATTTACATTTTGAGTAGTTTTGGCTTTTTAGTTTTGGGGGGTTTTTTGCCCATATTATACTCAAGAAGAACATAAGTAGTGATTGGATGTAGTCATTCACTTTTGGAAACAAAATCATCCTTCAGGTTTCTAGGCCATTTATTTGCAGAGATATTAATATTGCCAATGTCAAATGATTATTTTTAAAAAGGTGCATTTGCAATAAATTTTCCATAGTAATCAGAATTGTGTCAATGTTATAAAGCTAAAACAATACAGAAATAAATTTGTTGATGAAAATGGCTTAAAATTACAACTGTCACCCATGCTTCATTTCATACTTTCATTAATCAAAATAGTCTAGCCTTATTGATAGATTTTAATAAATGATATAATTTGGATTTGTTATTAACAAATCTCTTTCTGCTTTATATAATAGAAGTTCCATTAGGATTTTCTTAGACAAAAGAGATCTACTGATCGGGTACAATCCATTAATTTTACAAATTGAAAAATTGCAGCTCATCATAAGTGCTGGAAAATTGCAGATAGCAAACTTACTAACCCTTAGTTCACTGTTCTCCCTATTTTTCTATCTCATCTATAGTTCTTTAGTACATTTGTGTCATGTCATTTAGCATTTAATGATATGGTTTGCATACATGCATACCTTTATTTATTCAACAAGTAATTTTCTCTGTGACAGATATTTTACTATTACTGGAGACATCCTCTGAATCTAGAAATTGTACTGAAAATAAAATAAGAAAAATAAGTCTATCCAGCCTACAATCAATTTTGATTGATTGTAGCTAGCTACCTAGCTAGCTACAGCTAGCTAGGTACCTTGTGTACATCAGTAATTTTATCATATAACTAACAAGAACTTTTTCTACTTAAGATTGAATTTTAGGAGGGTAAAAAACATCCCTTTAAAATTTCGAATTTGAAAAATAATTGAGCTCAAATATATTGCCTGCATACCATGTACCTGGTGCTTTGCAAACATAAGCACAGATATACGAAACAAGGAATGTGTGTATTGTATATAAAGTAGGGTGTGGTAGGTGCTATTACATAGATGTAGCCAACTTAATACAATAGTGAGGAAGGAACTGTTTACTAAGTAATTCTAAATAAACGGCTATAGGAAGCATAATGAGTTAGTTATTTCTGTAGTTTATTTAAAGAAGAAAAGGTTCCTTTAAGAATGTGGGAGGAGTGAGGCTCGCTGGTGGCCTAGAGGTTAAATCTCAGCACTGTCAGCTCTAAGACTGTGGCCTGATTTCCATCAGCTGCCCTTATGGCGCAGCAAACCTCTCCCTCTGCTCCACTCAGCAGTGTATTTCAGTAAATCCATCTATTCTGCTCCCCATTCTGTCTCTGGTGAATCCTCTCACAACCATCCTCCTGTGCTTCACATCCCCACACATCTATGGCCTACACCCCAGTTCTTCTTCTATACACACACAAAAAAGAATGTAAGAAGAAATCTTTGTATGCCCAGGGAACATATCAGTGGGTACTCCCCACTCCACCCCTGTAAATGTCTCTGGTATATAGTTATTCATTATTCCCCCCCACCCTCCGACCTGGTCCTTTATAGCATAGCTGTTTTTTATTTGTTTGTTTTTTTTATGATAACTAATATACCCATCATTCTTTAACAGTATTTCATGGAGTTTACATACTTGTCAGAGGAGAGAAACATTAATAGGGTAAATAGAAAATATATAGTATATTAGTAATAAACACTTAGAAGAAAGAATAAAGACAGAGAAATTATCAGAGAGGAAATTAAAAGGTAAATTAGTTAATATCTCTTGCCTCAGTTTCCTCAGTCTAGAAAAGAAAAAGCAATAGTACTTGTACTCTTTACAATTGTGACAAGGATTAAATGCATTAATATATCTATTTATAAAATACAACTCAATTCCCAGAAATGTCAGCTAATATTATTTCTATATTTGGTGAAAATATCTTTAACACAAAAGTTATCTTATTTTCATCACATAAGGACTTCCTTTATTAAAGGATATACTTCAATTTTGAATTACTTCCTCTATAAGCTTAGACTCCCTCATCCATATTCTTGTCCCTTTTAGCTTCTGCTTTCAATATGCTTACATATAATATTGCTTTCTTATTGAAGTGAATCATCATTCTTTAACAGCATTTCTTCTAGAAAACAATATTTGCTTATCTAGATATTAGGTCATCATTTTCTATTTCAGGCATCAGGCAGGCATCCAGATTTTCCTGTGGAAAATACTCATTAATGATGCATCACGTCTCAAGGTTAAAAGGTCTGACAATATGAGACCTTTATGCATGCTTACCAACTAGAAATGAGTACAATATTGGAATTGTTATAACCAGATAGAAATGTAAAATCTTTAATATTAATCTTTTGGCACTAAGCTCATTTGCATGGGTTAGGTGATGTTTCAGGTCTTCTACAAGCCTTTCTTTTCCTGTCTAATCTCTGTGTATCATTAAATATATCCTGCCTCTACTTCCTTCTCTGACTCCTGAAAGCAGGACTGGCTCTTTGTGTTCATTTGTCATTTCACACCTATCAAAGTCAGTATCATTCAGTGTTACAATTACCTATTTACCTAACTGCCCAGTTCCACACCTTCTACCTGCCAGGGAGTAAGCTCCTTGAGATGGCGACTGTGTTGTGTTTGAGCCTAGTATTCATTTGAAACATTAACTATAATGCCAGCATTATTTTTGCACTCTAGGTAGGTAGACAGACACACAGATACACACCCTTGGTCCCACCTGCCTTAATTGATCCTTTGTCTGTCGTGGCTGCTCTCTGGAGAGAGGCAATGTACAAGCATACTGCTACACCCTGCCCTAAACATTCTCCTCTCTTGCTTTGGCCCAAAACCAAAAGAAAAAAGAAGTGGCTATCAGGAAAGACCTCAAAAGTGGAAGTGCTCCCTGTAAAGTGTCTATGGTCCTGGATGTGGTCCTTACACTTGCAATGTAAAAGGAAATTGATTTTGCCACTGCTTTCAAGGGTAGCATTCTTATAGAATCTGACCATCTATATTTACAAGAAAATAATTTATATCAGATAACCTGCTTGCATTTTTCTATTAACTAGTATTATCTACATTGACTTTTGTAACTCAGTGATAGCAGCTAACTTAATGATTTAAAAGCACCTATGAAATCCACCAAATAATCAAATAGTTGTCCAGTTATTGTGGAAATAGGACAAAATGGGTTGAATTGTCCTGAGAAACTTGTCAGCATTTCCCTGATGACTAGTAGAAAACAGAGTAAAGAGTAATAGGTATCAAGCATGCTTTTGAATGCCCTTATTTTTTTTCTTATTTGCTAAAAAGAAGAACTATTTTAAATCAGGAGATAAATGGATTTTATAACTCTTAATTATGGTAATGTACAATTTGGCTCCTTGATTTTTTTTATCCCAACATTAGTTAATGAGATAATAATGATAATGTAGTATTGCTAATGAGGATACTAAGAAAGAAGGAAAGATACAGTATTGAACATGGATGAGAATTCTCTATACCTCTACTTCCTCTAAATCCAGAATGATCATAGTCTTTGTCAGTTCAGTTTCACTAAGAAAGTTTATTGCATGTTTGTAGCTTTTAACTGGCTTCTGGCTCTCCCACACATGGTATTAATGCATGATGATCTACCAAGAATTCATCTTGCACCATTGTGAAGAAACTATGAAGTGTAAAACAGATTGTAAAGAAATGATGAAGTGTAAAACAGAGGTTCATTAAAAAATAAGTTATACTTCCTATCTGTTACCATAATCAATCCTTCACTCCTTATACAAGGGCCTTTCTCTTCCAGAGAACGGAAACCCAAGTACCTTCAGACATCAGGCTGGTGGGAATGAAGCAGGAAACCACTGCAGTGAACTGGAGAGCCAAGTCTTTTGTGAAGGTGCAGCCACTGCTCTATTCCAGATAATTGTTGCAAGGCAGGAATGTTGACCTAGTGTTACCACAATATCCAGTTTACCAGGTAAAGCTGGAAATGCAAATTTTCATGTGAAATCTTCTCATTTAAACACTACCTCACTTTCATTATTGTTCTGAAAACATTTCTATAGGTGGGATATGGTCTATACAGCACTACTTTTGTAACTTGGTCTTATATTTTGTTTACCTGTTTGTTATATTAGAGACTTTATTTTCTATAGATTTTTCTTTTCTTTGTATGTTCTTCAAAATATGCCTGGTTTTGTGATGTTGAAACCCTTCCTCTCCAACCTGAGTATTTTGTGCATTTATTTTCTTTGACTGCTACATTTTCTCTGCCACCCTCAGCATTACAGTAAGCAGTCTCACATTGAAGAGAGTCTCCTTGAAAAACTGTTCCTAGTCCACCACTTAACATATGTGGGTATTGTGAAACAACCTAAACAACAGTGAAAGACTTTATTTCATGGAGCTTAGGACTCTGGCTTATTTCTAGAGTCCACACTATCATTCTCCTCTTGCTTTCTGAAAAAACTTATCACACAAATTATAGACTGTATTTATCTTTTACTTTAAATTATGCTTGCTGGAGACATTGATTAGAATTGAGTGTTCCTAGATACTTATACACATTTAAAGACAATAATGTGGTGTAGATTCTTCAGGACTGAGGAGTCTTCCTATTTTTTACTTTTAAAAGGAACTTGATTTTTAATATTATTACAAGTTATCACTCCCTCTCTACAGAACTGACTATGTAATTATTCCACTGCCAGGTGAATTGAAGAGTGTTAAATATTTTTATAGCAGAAGAACATATAAATAATAATCATTTCAATATACTGCACAGCTCCAACTGAGCATAACTCACATTGTTTCATTCTTTATACAGTTTTGGGGGGAAATATTAATATACATTTTTCCAAAATGATTTGATTAGATATATTTAGCTGAATCTTGAATAGTTGTAATATCGGTAATGCACACATACAATGTGAATATTACCCATTAAACTTGCTTTTGTACAGTCTTAGATTGTATAAATGAGACAAGTACTTTTTATAAATATTCCCTATGATAAATTTTATTAAACTACAGAAAAGTAAAAATAGCATGCAATGCTGGTGGCTAATATACAGAAATAGAGCATAAATAATTTTTCCTTCATAATTATACTATTTATCAATTAGTCCAGAGATTTTTTTATGTGACTTATTATTATACTTTAAAAATTTCTCTAACTTTTTTTTAAGAGTGTGTTTTTGGGAACTGGTGATTGTCACTTTTTGACTTTTAAAACTATATAGCATGCATCAGTATTTTCTTTATATGCATGTAGACCATCATTTTTCACTTCCTTATATAGTTTTAAAAGTACAAAGTGAAACTTTCACTTGAAGTTAAATTGTTTTTTCTTTATAATCATGGAGAATGGCAAATTGAGGGAAAACCCCAGTTATGTATAGTATATGTGAATCACTGGGTATCACAGATGAATTAGAAAGAGAACCCAGTTTAGACTTGGAAGTTTTGAGGAAGCTACTGAAGGTCTCTCTGAGGACATGGCATTTCAATTGAGATAAGTAGGAGTTAGTTTAGTAAAAAGAGTTAGGACAGGAGATGGTATTCCAAACAAATAGATAAGGTATGTAATAATAAAAAAAATTAATAAGAAATGCCCTGAGTCATTTTAGAATCATCAAAGGAATAACCTTAATTCTTTCTAGTATTTAGATCATCCAGGTTAATGCTGCCCATTCTTTTTTTTTTTTCTTTTTTAAGATTTTTTTTTTAAAGATTTATTTATTTATTCATACAGAACTGGGGTACAGGCCAGAGATGTGGAGGGTGAGAGGCTTCACCAGAGACAGAGTGGGGAGCAGAACAGGCAGATGGATGAAGTACACTGCTGAGGGAGCAGCGGGCGGGTCAGGAGAGGTCTGCCGTGCCATGTGGGTCACCTCCGGGGCAGGCGGGACTTGAACTCATGCGGAAGCGGCTTTAGATTCTCAGTGCTGTGCTCCAACCTGCTGCGCCACCAGGGAGGGCCCTAAGATTCTTTTTATTTCTCATACAGAACTGGGGTACAGGCCAGAGGTGCAGGGATGCTGAGAGAATTCACCAGAGACAAAGTGGGGAGCGTAACAGGCATATGGACTGCTGACGGGAACAGTGGGCGAGGCAGGAGAAGTCTGCTGTGCCATGTGGATCACCTCTGCACCAGGATCAAACTAGCACTACAGCAGCTGCAGCTAGCTTGCAGTGCTGCACTTTAACCTGCAGCGCCACCAGGGAGGGCCCTTATGCTGCCCATTCTTAGTCCTTATTCCTTTTTCTCTACTTGAATGAAACAAAAAAAATAAACAAGAGCATAATACTATCCACAAAGCTTGTGACTATTTCCATTTAAAAACTTACCCCTAAAGTTTTGAAGATAAGCAAAAATTAACTCTTCTAAGTATATAATATTAAATGTTGGAGAATACTTTTCTTAATTATAAAACCAATGTATTTTACTTATAGAAAATTTTGAAAATGGAGAAAAAAACACTACCATTCCTACTGCAGGGAGATAACCACTGGAGGGATAGTTCTGTTCTATTCCTATAGCTACATAGTAATATTTTATATATGAAGGTTTGTAATTCCACCCGCAACTCATGGACTTTTCCCTCTGCTATTAAATTTTCAATAATATGTAAAAGAAACAATTTGGATATTTATTTTCTGCTAGTCTCTTGTTATATCCCCCAGAATAATCTTAGAAGGTTTTAATCATTTCATAAGGAAAGAAATTTTAAATCTTACCCAAGATCGCAACTAATGAAGGGTAGAACTACATCACTTCTCAATGCTGTAATTGAAAGTTTATAAATTAATTATAGACTTTCAGGTTGATTTCAGTGCAGTTTTTGGCTATTTGAAATAATACTTAATGACTCTCTGAGTTGATTGGGCCAGCTCAGCCTGGTTCCATATATTGTAAACTAGGATACTACACAAATTACAAATGATTTTACTTTTCTGGGCACTTCAAGGGCAGGGGCATCAGGAATGAGAAAGCTTCATTGATCAGGGCAGGAAAAATGTGTTCACAACATCCTAATACAATTATACAAAACAAGTGGAAATGTGCTGGGGATAGTTTAGGATAAATAAATAGAACCAGGAAGAAGCAGTAGGTCTCTTACAAAGGATGTATCTGAGGTATGCTTTGGAAGTGTTGGCTGCATGATTGAAATAAGAACCAAGTAGAAATAATAGCCAAAATGAGAATGTGGCTAAACTATTAATCTAAGTTTTTAAAAAATGAAAGAAGATACAACTGTATGGTACAGGTGCTCATAGATAAAAATGTTTAGCTAAATGGTGAAACAGGAAGGTTGAATGAGGGGCTATGAAGAAGCCCTTCGAATAATAAATATACAGAGAAAGAATTGCAAAAGGGAAAAGTCATGTAGGGTTACTCTAACAAGCTTAATTTAACTAATAGTGATGGAAAGATTATGAGTGTATCCATTTGTTATCCAATCAAAGATAATTATGTAGTTCCACTCAGGCATGCTCCAAGATGCTAATGCTAATAATATTTTTTAATTCAATTATATCTGTTATGTGTGCATTGAAATTTTAGTATAGAAGTAGATTTTATGTGAGACTTGCTCTCAATTGGAGAATGTGAAACAGTGAGTCTTATAAAATGAAGGGCATGGAATCTTTAAGTATTTCATAAGCTAAGTTTACAATGATAATTTTAAAATAAGTATAAGTGATTATTTAAAATTATAAATACCAGCATATGAAGTATTGGTGATGTACTAATTTATATGATCTCTTTCAAGTAATACCTCATTGGACTTTCATTCTGTCCTACTGTGTATCCAAATAGCCTACTGAGCATAAGATCAATGTGCAATGTCATTATAAATATTTTAAGGGATTCTACTCATAATATGACATTACGCTACAATCAAGCTATTATTCTTACTACTAATAAAGCTTGTGTAATAGGAAGATTTATGACAGTTAATGTTTTTCAGAAAGATTCATGAAGATAATTACTTATTTTCATAATACCAATCTGAAATTTAATCTTTTAAATATACATCTAACACTCCATAAGGTGTGATTTTATGCTTAGGTTACAAAAATGTCACTAAAGCAGATTGAGAAAAAAGTTCTACTGCATGAATTAGCATCATGCTGAAATAGTTTAATTTTTATATTGTTGCATTATTAATTAATGGCTCCTTATTCAATCCAACTAAAATGTGTATGTGTGTGTGTGTGTGTGTATATATATACACATATAAATTTTCTTATAAGTCCTCAAATACTTTTTCTATACAAAAGTTATCACTCAGATTGTGAGAATATTAGGGACAAATATAGAGCAAAAATGTACATACTTTGTCAACCTCAGTACTCACTGGTTTCTACTGACTTTCTTTTAAAAACATCTCATTTTAAATACAGGATATTAAAATTTTATAAGTGTACATGATGAAATCAGAATATAAAATTATAGTGACTAATTAGAATATACATAGTCTCCAGGAAATACTTAAGCATCTATTGTAAGGCAGGTATTATCCAAAAACTGGAAATATAGGAGGGACCTAGCAAGAGAAGGTCCCTTCCCTGAGGGAGTTTTATATTCTTATAGGGAGAGAAAAATAACAAGAGAAATCAGATAATAATAGGTATTAGTAAATTAACAAAATATAAGCAAGTACATAGAGTTTATAGTATAATCTATGAGGAAATAACTGTAACTTACATTCCGAATGGTCAGAAGCCAATGTAAAGAAGTAAATCAAAATTCATTTCCACCAAATTCAATTCTCATAGACTAATTTCTATTTTGAAAGGATGCAGAACTGGTAAAACTGTTGGCATATATCCTCCTCAGAACACACATACACTCTATTGTTTTAATTTCATTACTATTGCTGCTAGAATTGCTTGTAAAAAAAAATTTAATTATACCCTAAGTATAAAATTGCTCTGAGTAACAGGTAGATGTTGGAACCTTTCATAGCA